TCCCAATAACGTCTGTTCTTCTTTTCTCTCCTTCTCCTCCTAGCACTGTCTTTCTTATCATTCCCCTCCTTCTAATGTACTGTCTCTCCTCCTAACATTTCGTATCATGTACCTGTCACTCCTTTCATTTTTCTTCTTTTTTTGGTGCGTTTTATGTCTCCATGACGTCGAGACCTCAGGTCGGCTGAGGGCAAAAAGCCTCACCATCACTATGCTTCCACTATGCAATTTTTTGTCTTTGCCTGTGAGCTGTGATCATTGTAAAAAAAAAAAAAAAAAAAAAAAAAAAAAACGTTACCCACCACATAGCACTGTCGTACAAGGTTAGTTGTGATTGTCAGTGAGAATACTCTAGATGTTGTGTAGTATCCCTGCCCGACCAATACGGAAGCAGTACGGAACTAATACGGAGCTTTGCCTGATGTATATTTAGTGTATCTCCGTATGTAAGCGTACGGCGTCTGCTGCATAAAAGCGGCTGCGCATTTCTGTTTTGATGAAGATGAGATTTTGATAAAAACGAGCTATTCAACCTCCAGGTGTGCACCGGAGAGAAAGTCAGTTATTTTGCCATTTCTTCTTTCACTAATAATTAAATCTCAGGTGTGTACCTGAAAGAAGTAGAATAAAAGTAATTCTTGTTGATTTCACCGCGCCTACCACTAAGCAACCCATTACATTGGTGGCAGCGGTGTAGTTTTAAATAAAACAACGTGATTCGACCCCAGACCCCCATGGCTCAACCCGCTGCAGCTCCGTGCGACGAATCAAGATGAGAATCATGTTTCTTGCTTTCCTGGGCCTGGCCATACTTATTAGCTTGCAGCACAGTCAGGGTGCTAGCGTGGATCACCCTTCCCTCCGCATGGCATCCACTGGAGACTCCGATGGCGATTCCAAGCGACCCGCTACCTACATGTTAACTACTTGTGGTGATGGCGAAGCTGATGAGGACGACAACAGGCAGGCTGCTGCCCAAGACAAGGAGGGTATTCCCCAAGACCAGCAGCGTTTGATTTTCGCCGGCACGCAATCGGAAGCAGGAGCCCACTCTTCACTTTGGTACTTCGCCTCCGTGGTGGGATGCAGATTTTCGTCAACACTCTTCCTGGCTAGACCATCACTCTTTACGTCGCGCAAAGCGATGCTATCGACAACGTGAAGACCATGATTCAAGACGAGGAGGGAGGTTATTTGTCTGACGCCGAGCTAGCCGCTCTGAGTGACCGGCTCAACGAAGATGAAGATAAAACCTCGCTCGCCCTCCGCCATAGCTCCAGCCGCCGCCGTGGTTACTAACGCTGATTCCAGGTATGGCATTTTCTTTCCTGTCTTCCTTCAGTCTCCCTGTTCTCTTCAGTCTTCCTTTATGCGAGTGTGTGAATCCAGTTTAGTTTGGTAGGCGTCTGATCATTGTGAGCCACGGCTTACCCAGCTAACGTGGGACAATGTGTGTGACAACGCCCCTTATTGTTATAGTGTATTCAGTTCGGTTTTTGAACTGCGATGTTCCTGGCGGGTTGTGCCAGCGTAGTGCAGCAAGAGTGCTGTGGTTTCAGGTCCTATTTGGAGGACAGTTCTTTCCCTTTTGACCCCGTGAGATCGTGTGAACCTGGTGTGCTTTTACTTCTATTTTATGATTTGTTATCAGTTCATTTCTTCTGTCTACTCTAAACGTTATCATTTCCGATATAATTTGCCATCTTCCGGTTGACGCTGTTGTTCGTAACTCCTCACTAATTTTTTGAAAATCACGAGGGCGTGATTATCTGTAGGAAGGGAGGGTGTAGTATCCCTGCCCGACCAATACGGAAGCAGTACGGAACTAATACGGAGCTTTGCCTGATGTATATTTAGTGTATCTCCGTATGTAAGCGTACGGCGTCTGCTGCATAAAAGCGGCTGCGCATTTCTGTTTTGATGAAGATGGGATTTTGATAAAACGAGCTATTCAACCTCCAGGTGTGCACCGGAGAGAAAGTCAGTTATTTTGCCATTTCTTCTTTCACTAATAATTAAATCTCAGGTGTGTACCTGAAAGAAGTAGAATAAAAGTAATTCTTGTTGATTTCACCGCGCCTACCACTCGGCTACCCATTACAGTTGTATGCCTACATGTGTAATGGGTAGCCGAGTGGTAGGCGCGGTGAAATCAACAAGAATTAGTTTTATTCTACTTCTTTCAGGTACACACCTGAGATAAAATTATTAGTGAAAGAAGAAATGGCAAAATAACTGACTTTCTCTCCGGTGCTCACCTAGAGGTTGATTTCTTCTTCTTCGAGTTAGCTTTCGTTGCTATCTAATCTAATCTCATCAAAACAGAAAGCGCAGCCGCTTTTATGCAGCAGACGCCGTACGCTTACATACGGAGATACACTAAATATACAACAGGCAAAGCTCCGTAACAAACTAAACGGAAGATAGGCCACTGCGAAGTGACGGAAATGCGGTCAAGGACCGCATCTTGTCGGTACCACATTCTGTGGAATGAAATCCAAAATCGGAGCGATTTTGCAGCGTCTTAGCGCAAATTGTTTCGAGTTATCCACAAAGACACAAGCTTTCCAACTCTCTTCGGCCGTTGGAAAGCGTACCGTTCCGTACTGCTTCCGTATTGGTCGGGCAGGGATACTACACATGCATGGGCAGAACTGGTCGTAAATAAATGAAGAATCTACTTCAGTATGTACTTGTATAAGAAGAAGAAAAGAACCAAAGAGCTACAAGTTACGCTGCAATTATCCACCAACACCACCAGTTACTTAACAAACAGCTCATGCGATAGCATTGCACCACACTGACCAACGGTACTGACATTCTACACCTACATGTACATGCAACTGGCAATCAGCTCTAGCACATCTCGGTTGCGTACTCCAACAGCCTTCCACCTTGGAAGGTTCTAATTTATAGAAATAACACAAGGAGGGCTTGAGCTGATTGTAAAGTAACTCGTGGTGTTAGTGGATAATAATTATTATCACGTAACTTGTAGCTCTTTGGGCCTTTTTTATTTCTTCTGATAAATTAATCCTTGGCTCTCCACCCGAGTCTAATCTATGTACAGCTTGGATTAAAGGGGAAGTTAAGCCTAAATCAAAATCACCAGTTGTAGTCTTTGGGGTGCTGAGTCGAATGATCTTGGTCTGAGGAAGCTGAGGCGCTCCCTTCCTCCGTTATTCCCAAATGAACTCGCGCGCTTCCACCGAAACTGGGTGACTGCGCCCTACTAGATGGGGATTTGTATGCAAAATGTCTCTAAAAGCTCCATTTCGTTCTTACTTGAATTATATAATCACGGATGACCGCGATTGGCCCATATGTTGTAGTCTTTTGGACGCCGAGGCGACTGGTTTTGGTCCGAAAAGGCTGCGGTGCAGCATACGGGCCGGGCCGTATTCCTAATCGAACATGGTTGAACAAGTGGTCACGTGCTCCTGCGTACACCAGTCACCTGGTCACTGCGCCTGCAGGCGACAACTAATTACTTTCACACTCGGTTCAACTCGAGTTCAACTCGCGTGACAGGAATTTACCCAAACAAGCTGTATTTAAAGGGGAAGTTAAGGCAAAAATTAAAATTTCACCAGTTGTAGTCTTCGGGGTGCTGAGTCGAATGGTCGTGGTCCGAGGAAGCTGAGACGCTCCCTTCCTACTTGAATCCCAATCGAACTCGCGCACTTCCACCGAAACTGGGTGACTGCGCCCTACGAGATGGGGATTAGGCCTTGACAGATTATGCTAGCATAAATTTTCACATAATTCCTACCAAAATCGAATAATCGCATTATTCGAGGCAAATTGCATACGAATCGCATAAAATTGGACTAATCCGCCTGTTCGCATCAAATTCCATACAGTTGTACATGTTCTACAAGTACAAGTACAAGTAGACACACCAGGAAGGCGTAGGTTTACGACTCCCTTGATAGCATGTCCAGTCCACTACAATCAGTGACCAGGGTGGCGGTCATAGCTAGGTCGGACGGTGCGTTGAATCCGTTGAACTTTTGCTACTACAGTACAACGCCCTCTTCAAAAAAATTCACCTATTATTTTGCACAGAACCATCATATACATTAGCAGCATATGTGAGCATAATGCCGCATAATATGATAACTTTTCGCATAATAATAGCATAATTCTGCAATTTTTTCAGCAATGCGAAAAGCATAATTTCACGAAAATATTAGCATAATCTGTCAAGGCCTAATGGGGATTTGTATGCAAAATGTCACTAAAAGCGCCATTTCGTTCTTATAAAAGCACGGATGACCGCGATTGGCCCATATGTTGTAGTCTTTTGGACGCTGAGTCGACTGGTTTTGGTCCGAAAAGGCTGCGATGCAGCGTTCCTCCTTTATTCCCAATCGAACATGGTTGAACAAGTGGTCACGTGCTCCTGGGTGCCCAAATCACCTGGTCACCACGCCAGCAGGTGACAACTTTCACACCAAGGTTCAACTCGAGTTCAACTCGAGTGACAGGACTGCACCCAAAAAAGGTCAAACAGGCTAGTAAGTTGTACCCTGCAGGCACGGTGACAAGGGCGTCGGAACCGCACCGGCCGGGGCGGCCATGGCCGCCCCACTTTCCGGGCCAATTTTTTTTTTTTTTTTTTTTTTTTGGAGGGGTATAAAGTGCATACAGCATGCATGCATGCATGCAGTACATGCAGTGCACATCTGTACGTGTGCACGGTGTGGTGACGTGGTGCAGTATGCCGTACATGTATTTCGCTGAACTTTGATATCTGCGTAACCTCTGGCCTCTGGGTTCAGTGTGTACACTAGCCTCTAGCTGCTGGCTGCTGGTCGGTGTCAACCGGACATGTCTAGTTGCACATCATGATCTAACCTAATCTAACATGCACGATTCGCAACATAATCGGCATTACTGCAGCAGGCAGGTTTTCCCTAATACTAGTCACTACAGACACCACGCCGTTCTGCTCCAACTTAGTTTGATAAATTTAGTTTGATTATGGTGAGCTCATCATGGCGGAGGCTGAAGTAGTTCCTAATGCGCCCCATCAACCAAGAGGTTTTGACTTTCCGAAAAGAGAGTTTGGGAAGAAGTCCGTCGTGAAACGTGCTTTCCAGGCCAAGTGGTTTGATCGTTGGTCATGGCTGCATTATTCTGAGGCCAGAGATGTAGTGTTTTGTTTCACCTGCTTCCGCGCTCACGCAGAAGGAAAGTTGGTGTGGTCAGCTAATGCAGATGGCGCGTTCATCGATATAGGCTTCTCGAATTGGAAAGATGCTACGACAAAGTACGATGCGCACCAGAACTCCAAGTGTCATAAGGAAGCTGTCCTGAAAGCTGTAAGTTTACCAGGCGCGGTAGTGGACATCGGAGAGAGCCTGTCAGCGCAACACCAGCGCGAGAAAGTAGAGAGCCGGCACTGCTTCCTCAAGATACTGTCCTCGCTGCGCTTTCTCGCACGCCAGGGACTACCATTACGTGGTCACGGTGACGACTCCCACTCCAACTTCATACAGTTGATGTCTCTCCGTGCTGGTGACGACACGCGCCTGTCCACATGGCTGAGGAAGAAGAAGGGTAAGTACACCTCCGGTGATATCCAGAATGAGATACTTGGCGTAATGTCCAGTGATGTTCTCCGTTCAATTGCCGATCAAGTCAAGGCTGCCAAGTTCTGCACTGTTATGGTGGATGAAACCACAGATGTGGCAAACAAGGAGCAAGTTGTCATGTGCCTTCGCTGGGTAGACAACTCTCTGACACCCCATGAGGATTTGGTCGGAATGTACGTGGTCGATTCAACGCAGGCATCTGTACTCGTCACGGTCATCAAGGACATACTGCTACGTCTTGGCATTAGCATCAACTGTGTGCGTGGTCAATGCTACGATGGAGCATCCGCAATGTCTGGGCGGAGAAGTGGCGTGGCAGCACTGTTGCAGAAGGAAGAGCCAAGGGCTATCTACACTCACTGCTACGGCCACTCACTGAACCTGGCGTGCATGGATGCCGTCAAGAAGTGTGCCACGCTACGAAACAGCCTTGACATCGTGCAGGAAATCACAAAGCTGATCAAGAAGTCACCACGCCGAGATGCCCTGCTGCAAAGGCTCAAGGAGGAGATTGCACTGCAGTCTCCTGGTATCCGTGTGCTATGCCCCACACGATGGACAGTGAAAGCAGATTCTCTTGACAGTATCCTGAAGAATTACGAGATACTGCTCCAGCTGTGGGATGAGGCTCTTGCCATTGTCAAGGAGACAGAGATGAGAGGAAGGATCATCGACGTGGCCACCTACATGAAGTCATTTGACTTCTTTTATGGTGTTGTGCTGGGGGAAATGTTGCTCCGACACAGCGACAATCTCAGCAGAGCCTTGCAATCGTCGCGACTGTCGGCTGCCGAGGGCCAGAAGGTTGCTGCCTTGACCGTCGCCACACTCCAAGGTCTACGCAGTGATGATCACTTTGACCTCTTCTGGACACGGGCGACAACCATGGCAGACGAATCCTCCGTGGACGAGCCCGTCCTTCCAAGGCGACGCAAAGCTCCCAGACGGCTTGAAGTGGGCGAAGGAGCAGGGTATGTCGTCCCTGATGTGAAGGCAAAATACCGTCAAGTCTTCTATGAAGCCCTGGATCTGCTCGTCAATGGCATCCAGGATCGCTTCGACCAGCCAGGTTACCAAGTGTACAGCCAACTGGAGAGTCTGCTGTTGAAGTCGGCGAAGGGAGAGGACGCAGCAGTGGAGCTGGCTGCAGTGTGTGCACGGTACGGTGCCGACTTCGACCGCAAGAACCTGGAGTTGCAGCTATCGATCCTGAAGAAGTCCGTGCCAGCCAACTGCGATTGTCTGTATGCTATCCTGGAGCACATCACCAGTCTATCTCCAGGCCAGCGGTCACTGATGGATGAGGTGTGCACGTTGGCCAGCCTGATCCTGGTGATGCCTGCAACCAATGCAGCGAGCGAGAGATCATTCAGCGGCCTGAGGCGCATCAAGAGCTACCTGAGGTCGACAATGGGGCAGGCAAGGATGAACAGCTTGATCCTCCTAAATGCCCATGTGGAGCGCATCGACAGCCTCAACCTTCTGGCCATCGGCAACTCTTTCACGCAAGGGTCCGACCACCGCCAGTCTATCTTCGGAAGATTTGTGGCAGCTGATTTGGACTGAGCTTCCCCATTCCGGCTTCCACTTCGTGTATATAGTTCGAGACTATTGGACCACTTTCTTGAGGTATTGGTCACCCGTAATATTATGACATCGTTCACATGTATTGTTCACACAGCGGTGTGGCGGTTTCATCGTTTCACAAGCGTGAAACTCGGAGTAGCAACTTAAGTGTGTATTGTTCTATTCAACACGTATTCCTATTAGAACCTGGTGATGCAGCCAATGCATTGGCTGGTTGTACAGTAGTTCCGCACCGCGCATGTCAAGACATAACTGGCATGCATTCGACCTCTTCCTGGCTATGATGGTCTTAGTGTGCACTGGTGGGCTGACAGTATCTTCCCCCCCCCCCCTCCTGCTGTAGTGTTCATTGTACTATTGTGTTCCGCCGTCGCCCCCCCCCCCTTCACAACTGGCCGCCCCACTTGAAATCTCCTTCCGACGCCCCTGGGTGACCAGGTGACTGGCGTACGCAGGAGCACGTGACCGCTTGTTCAACCATGTTCGATTGGGAATAAAGGAAGAACGCTGCATCGCAGCCTTTTCGGACCAAAACCAGTCGAGTCACCGTCCAAAAGACTACAACATATGGGCCAATCGCGGTCATCCGTGCTTTTATAAGAACGAAATGGCGCTTTTAGTGACATTTTGCATACAAATCCCCATCTCGTAGGGCGCAGTCACCCAGTTTCGGTGGAAGTGCGCGAGTTCGATTGGGATTCAAGTAGGAAGGGAGCGTCTCAGCTTCCTCGGACCACGACCATTCGACTCAGCACCCCGAAGACTACAACTGGTGAAATTTTAATTTTTGCCTTAACTTCCCCTTTAAAGTATAATTATTAGTAGTGTACCCTGAACTGCTGAAGAAGTCAGGAAAACCGCGAGCTCCCATGTAGGGAGCAACACACAATTCCCCAAGTATCGCCGAAGTCGCACCAACCTCTTCTTCACATTGTTGGCCCCAGCGTGGGCTTGCGAATTAGATGGTTTGCTGGCAACAACGTTGTTAATGGCCAACGGTCCTCGGCGCTTGTTCAACACCTCCATGAGCGATACTGACTCATGCTCCTACCTGGTGTTCACGAGGTGTTTGTCGCGCTGGAAACGGAGTGTCTCTGTAAGTCTGTATCCCTGGTGATGTTAGTGCGTGGAGAGCACTATATACATGTAAGTAGTGCTATTCAGGCACAATCTTCCTCAGCCTACTCAAGCTCAACTGATGAGGGGTCAATTCCCCGAAACACTGTGTATTAAGCAGGGAGTGGTGCTTTCTTGCAGGTTTACTGAGTCACACGGGACGGTTCGATGGACTTTTCGTGCACACTGGATGGCAGTCGTGAGTCAGTCAAGTGAGAATTCAAGTCGGCAGGAAAACCGCGAGCTCCCATGTTGGGAGCAACTAGGGTCCAGCAGATTCTGCCGGCAGACAAATTAGCAGAATTCGGTACTTTTTCTGGTAAGTTTCATGCATGTTTGGCATGTGGATAAAAAAACGGAGCAGAATTCGAGGAATTGCCCGCCATAAGGTTTGGATGGTTCTGCCAATTTCACTGCTTTTCGAGCAGAATCTGCCACCTTTTCGAGCAGAATCCGCCGGTCCCTAGGAGCAACACACAATTCCTCTGTATAATCAGACATAAGAAAATTCTAGGGGTCAAAGGGGTGTAGCTTTAACTAACGAACGGGTAATTTTCTTAACGTGCAGGTTAACTGGTACCCTTCAGTAGCCATGTTTATTTTTTGCGCAGTTTTCACATAAATCAATATTTTAATTGATCTGTTCTCGGATTGCATTTTGATATCACATTGTGATTCGCAAAATTGATTGGTGTCTGATAGTCGCAGAGGTAGATCAACTAGGTGCAAAAATGCAATAACAATGCAGACATCCAGCGTGGAGTTGTAAATAAAACTTGAAATCCAACATAAATCTCTTCTTAAAATATTGTTGAACAAGCAGCGTTTATTTCCTAGTCTTGAGCTCTATTGTATCAGCAATACTCAGCCACTGCAAGATAATCGCAAACAGCAGCTTTGCGTTTTGATCCACAGAATTCGCCTAGGTAAAATTCCCATTCATCTCTCCGTATTCAATTGGTTTTCTCTGTCCCGGTCCACTCGTAATAGTCTCTCACTTCCCTGTGCTAATTCAGCCGCATTTACCAACTCTCCTCTGTTTTTGTCCTACAGCCTTTGGCTGCAACTTCCCCAGCATGTTAAGACATCAAAATGTCTTTCCAGCTTTAAAAATGCACTCCGATCGCATAATGTAGTACGATAGGATCTCATTGCTGGATTCTTGTCTATCCTTCTTTCTTCTCTTTTTCTATATTCCTTTCTTTTCTTTTCTTGCCGTGGTTGGCTATCACCCCTCTCTCGCACTTTGCGTGCCAATTGGTCATGAACCACGAGTTGAGTGAAATAAATAAATAAATAAATAAATAATTGACTCCGGCCTGGAATGCGTGATCCCAGCAGTGTTGCTCCGTACTGACTGGATCATCGAAATCCAAACGGGTACCCTTTTACTAACGGTTAGGCCTTGACGGATTATGCTAATATTTTCGTGAAATTATGCTTTTCGCATTGCTGATAAAATGACAGAATTATGCTATTTTTATGCTAAAAGTTATCATATTATGCTGCATCATGCTCACATATGCTGCTAATGTGTATATGATGGTTCTGTGCAAAATAACAGGTGAATTTTTTGTAGAGGGCGTTGTACTGTAGTAGCAAAAGTTCAACGGGGTCAACGCACCGTCCGACCTACCTGCGACCGTCACTGATTGTAGTGGACTGGACATGTTATCAAGGGAGTCGTAAACCTCCGACGTCCTGGTGCATCTACTTCTACTTGCACTTGTAAAACATGTACAACTGTATGGAATTTGATGCGAACAGTCGGATTATTCCAATTTATGCGATTTGTATGCAATTTGCCTCGAATTATGCGATTATTCGATTTTGGTAGGAGTTATGCGAAAAATTATGCTAGCATAATCCGTCAAGGCCTACTAACGGTACCTTAGATTAATGGGCGGGTACACGGGTATCCCCCCCCCACTTTTACCTCCTGCCCACTCACACTGGTCCCTGTTTCCGATCCACTCTACTACATTCCATGATCACCACGTGGAACTCCCTGCCTACCGAGATTAGGATATCTGAAACCCGTGGTGTATTTAGCCGGCACGTTAAGTCCCATTTCCACAGGTATAGATTCCATCCTCGAGGTTTTCTCACTTCCTGATTACCCCCCCCCCCTTCTTTACCAGTACCCTTTTCGCTTGCTTCTACGACTTCTTATTTAACCTCTTCACATTAATCTTTTTTTATCGTAATATTTTCTTTCTTTTAAGAATTGCACCCTATTGCACACGCATTGTACACGTATATTTATTCTCGGAGACCCCCTTGATTTAGGCTTCGGCCTTTGGGGAATCCCTCAAATAATAATAATAATAATAATAATAATAACCCGGTACACCCCTTTGACCCCTAGTTCAAAATTCTCATTTTTTAGAAAATATGCAGTTTGCGGGTTTTGCGCAGCGCCTCACAACTTCGCTGGCATATTTGATGTCAGAAGCGCCTCTAAATTCACTTCCTTATTTTGTACTGTTGTACACATACAAATATCAAGGCAAAATTGCTTCATCAAACTTGAACAAACTTTTCAGACACCAATAGTTATAGTGAAGAAAAAACATATCTTTCCATGCCCGCATGGTGCCAGGCACCTCCCCTCAGCCTAGACTGGCAAAAAATATGGAACGCTTCAGGGATTTGCGTGTCATCCTTGCGCAGGGGCCATGCTAATCTTCTCTGTATCGTTCCAATTTTAGTATATGTAACACCGAAGTGATACAACATTATTGTCATCGGGGGTGGTTTATATAGTGCCTCCGCCTATCTACGTGGGTATGATCAGGAAACGCGCTACGGCCAAAAATGGGACGATACAAAGCCCAGGGACTTGGTGAATATGTGATATGCAAACAAGAAATATTTCCTTGGCTTGAGGTGTCTCGCGTGGTGCCTGCCTACTGCGTTGTCCTAGCAACCGCCAGTTTAGGGTTGGTTCACATATCGCCGGTATGCGCCGGGAGTCATCGGCGGTGGGCCTCTTGCAATCTCTTCCGGCGCATGGCAATTTATGAGAGCCAGTTAGGCACCGGCGGATAATGCTAGTTATTTGAGGAAATTGTGCTACTAGCACTGCTAGTTATTTGGAGCGATTATGCTAGTTATAATGCTAGCAGTGCCGATAGTGCTACAAAAATGTCAATACATGCGGTGGGAAATAATGACTTCCCTATGCAGTCACTCGGAATATGGCAGTATCACAGGGCAAACACGGTGGAAACATAACACACAAAGAAAATTGACATTGAACTTCAAGACAAGCATTGCAAATTTGGAAATCAAATTTGCAAAAAATGTGCACAATGCTATATTTAGCTCCAAGTACAAGTCAGTGCAGTTTGAACAACTCCGTAAACGCAGCAAACAGTGCCAAACACGCTTCTGGTAACGGTGGCATCCAGCATACACTTTCATCTGGACGTAGTCCTAGTTTCACACATCGATTGTGCTAGACAAGGTCACATTTGGAGGCTTTATGCTAGGGCAGTGCCGGTCTTCCCCACATGGGTCATTATGCTAGTTATTATGCTAGCATTATCCGCCGATGCCTAGAGCCAGTGCAATCACAACCAAATCATATGGTAAAAAATCGCAAGGGATCGCCAGCAAAGTTTTGCAGTGCCCAACTCTTGCGATCTGCTCTGGGACCGATCCCGTACAATTTTGATCAAAAGTGGTTTGCGAACCGTTTGCGCTGGTGATCGCCGGTGCCGGGACCCAGACTTTGTCAAAATTTCAAACCAAGACTCGTCCTAAATATTCCTAAATAGAAGCTAAAGATGAGGTCTGCTCGCCATTCTTGCAGTTGCTTCAAGGTGGCAAATATAGTCAGCATACCAACCCGTCCTTCT